ATGAACATACATTTTGAACTTGTCGCGTGATCGTGCTGGTCCTGCGCTGCGTCACACGCTGCGCAGCTACCCTAATTGAATATATTGAATGGAAACAAATCTGCCCATATGATTAGGGTGGTAAATCAACTAAGTAATCAAAATAGTTATGTTGATCATTTACTATGATCAAAATTTTATAAGTAAATTAAAAAATAAAATCGAATGATTTTGTATTGCTTTAATTATAAAGAAAAGCGTAAAACTTTAAAGGATTCACACGATTATTGTGCTTATTTTTCTAATTTCTTTTGATTGAAACCGCTGTGCCGGAACTATTTCAACGTAACTGCGTTAGATTTTTTTACGAAGTTCAATTAAATTCGAATCTTCATGTTCAAGATATAGATTCTATCGTTCTAATTGACGAATTTAGAACATTCTACAAGACAAATGTCCAAAACCTACATACTAGTAGAAAATCTTCAAACATAGCTTTATTCTTAAACATTTTTTAAACATCCTGTAGAAGTTTTAAGGTAATTCGATGTCTTGATAATGAGTTGAATTGTTCAGAAGATATTCGTATACGTACGTACAATATAAAAAATTAATATTGATCGTCGTATAACATAAAAATTTGCGATGCATCAAATTCAATAGTTTGCTAACATAAGTTTGATTACTTAATCGATATCACCCCAGTACAGTGCGTACTGTACGCTAAAATTTTTCAGGTATCATATAAATGGCACATCACTAATTTGGATACCCCTTGTTTCGTAATGCCGGAGTTAAATGAATGTCACACGTCGTGATACGTTACCGATAGTAGAACGTGATTATAAGTGCAAATAAATAAAGGTTGATCTAAAAGATCGAACAGTGGCTTTTATCTTGAGTAATAAACGATATAATACACTGTGAGTCTGTATTGTGTTTGTGAGTCGCCCAGTGGTATTCCTTTTGGTGGAAGTATCTGAACGATGCATCAGTCATCGTATAAAGCCAAGCGAGTGCAAAACATTAGTGAAATTCGAAGTATACACAGTATAACAGTCACATACATGACAGTAAATTATATAGGAGGTTTATAAATTGTGCAATACATCTTATTTTATTAACTTTTGACATTTATTTAAAATCACTGACCAAACTTTTGAAGCCAATATTTCTTCATTATTTTGCGTATTTAATTAAGAGCGTTGATATGTCGCCATTAGTTTTATTGTAGTTTGTACATATGTACTTGAATTTTATTAAAAAAAATTTAAAACCCTATATCAAATTATGCTTATTTAAAATTTTGTACAAAAATATTTTGTAACTAGCAATTAATTTTTGTCAAAATCAAATGAACCATTTTCAATATCCATAAATTTCGTATTATCATCATTATTAGAGCTTTTACTATCAACCTTTGTACTACAAGCAGTTTTATCATTTTCACTTCCATCAGCTGAGTAACAATAATCAGTGCCATAACGACTCCAACCTTCATTTACTATATAAAATATTGCATTTCCGATAGGCTAATAAACAAAAGCCAATAGTGAGTATAAGAAAGTTAACTTACTCACAAGAAGATAAATAGAAATTACTTACTCCCAAATTAATTGACACAATAACCATACAATAAACCCAAGTAGCAGCACGGCCAAAAAATTGATAAATATCATATGGTATAGCAGGAACCTTAAAACATTATAAAAAAAAAAAATTGCGTAAATATTCAAACTAATTATTAAATAAAAGTTAAAATAAAATTCAAATAAAAAATTACCCACCCATTGCAACATAAACACAAGTATATACCACAAAACCTTCTTAGTGACTTTAATTTCAACAGAATCCATAGGAGTATGTGTAGATCTTTTACCAAATACACCTTTACTTTCAGAAACTAAGTATTGTTGTTTTTTAATATCACGTATGGCTAGAATAGTTTGGATATAACAGAACATGCATATAGAAAGTACAATTATAGTCATAGAAATGGAAGATATTGGAATGGCTACAGTAGCTGGTTCTGCGGCACACCTATTGAAAAATTAAAATTAGCATTAACATGATTAATGCATGAGTTAGGGTTTGGAATAATTTAAAGAAAATCATATAAAGATTTTATACCAATATATAACGGGACCATAAGTATTAAAAGCCATGACTCCAATAAGTATAGACAAAATGGCCACAGGTAAAAGTAATTTCCAATCATATCTACCAGTGTTACAAATTTTTTGTTTACATACTCTAAAACAATATTAGATATATAAAACATTTATTAATTTCAAAATTATTTTTATTTTTTTATAGGTTCATTAATTTTTTTTTTTTTTTTTTTTACCTGAGATATGTAATAATTGAAATACCAGCGATAACTAGCCTATGAAAAAGTGTAAATGAAGTACTCATAGTAGCATAGACTTTACAGGTGAAACCAGTCATTGGTTCGTGATTTATTGTAAGATAACCCTAATTAAAGGTTCAAAGTGTTAATTGTCATTTATGTATGTCAATATTGCTTTTTTTCTGTATTAGATAAATCTTTAACAATGTAACTTACAATGGTAATAGCTTGGAAAATTAGGAATCCCAAATCTAAACGATCAAACCAAAATATTTTAAGTTACATTTTATAAAATCAATTATAAATGCATAATGAAGATTATAACCGGGATCATTAAAGCCTGGCATCTAATCTAATATTAGTTAAATATCGTATCCGAAAATCTTATAATGCGCCAGACTTTAACAACAGTTTCAAAAAGATGTGAAAAGGAATTATAAATCTGCATTGACCACATCTTTTTGAAAACATGAACCCAAATGTGTAATACCTACCTAACATACTCAAATAAAAGGGAACTCTAAGGGCCATCGATAAAGATTTACGTTTAAGCGACCACCTAAGAAAGACTCTTATAAGGATAAATGTTACTCCTATTAAGCCGCAAAACACGAAAATGTGACCAAATATGACAACGCTTAAGAATCCAACGGGATCAACTAATAAAATTATTAAGAAATGTAAATGTAAGCCATGTAATTGTAAAAATGTATAAAATGTAGAAAGGATTATATAACAACTAATTTACCCTCGTAAAGATCAACATGAGGATCTTGAACTTGTGCACTCACAAAGTTTTTGAATAACAAAATAAATGATAAAAGGAACTTTAAATATTTCGATGATAACATGGTGAATTGATGGTTATTACAAGGCATAGGGCGAACGAAAGAATCTAGTTAGGAGAGATTCAAAAAAAAAAAAAAAAAAAACTTGGAATAGTTTGAGAACTTATTTTTAATGCTGATTATGAATAAAGAAACCATCCATTCGATATTTTAAGTTGATAATCAAAGCCTATTTATAAGAATTTGGATATTTTTTTTGAGATCCTAGTTATAATACCATGCTTAAATTTACTGGTTAATATTTATGCAGAAATTGCATTTTTTATCTAGCCTTCCACAAAAAAATTTTTTTTCAGAAATCATTGGTTTTTTACTTTTTTTACTTAAAAAAATTTTTGCTAGCACGTATGTACGTACGTATTACGTATTCTATATAAATTAACTAGGTTAATGTGACAATTGGAAATTCGAGTCGTACAATGCAATCTTAACCAGCATTAGCTAATCATTAGTCACTATATTAGTCAACAGACATATGTTTTTTTATGAGTGTATGATGATCAAAAGATTTATAATTTAATCCTGAATTTGTGAGCTTTAATGATTTTTTTAATTGGTCGTTTCTAAAATCTAAATCCAAAAATGTGATAGTATGCGAAATCTACGATCATGATCGGATTATTGCATTTGCTATTTGGAGTATTCAAGAATTGTCTAAAATGGAAATTATTAAAGGTCTAAGTCTAACCGAAAATGTGATATTATGATCATCATCAGATTGTAACATTTGTATCAAATTCCAAAATGTAAGCCGAAAATATGAATTTAAACAGGTATTTACTAAATTTTCCAGGGTTATATTGATTGGATAGGATTATCCGACTGTCACAGTCTTTCAAGATTGGTGTGATTTTTCAAAAAAAAAATGATTGTTTTTGTTTTTCTTAATTTCACGTTACATCTGAATCTTGACCTCTGATTGGTTGAATCATGAAACTTGGACTTCCGAAACTGTAATGTAACTTTAGTAATCTCTATAATGTAAATTAGAGTTTGTGGATTTAACCATTTTATATTAGTCATATCCAAATGTGATCAATATTTGAGAAAAAACTCAAACATTGCAGATCTTGACAGATCTTGACATCTAAAGGCAGGTAGGATTTTTATAATTTACAAATCATTTAGACGATCTTTGAGTATCACGAATTCGAATGACATACATGCATGCATCTTATATTATTTATATAGATTCGCTGATCCATAACGGAATAGCTTAAATAAGAAATTATCAAAAATGCACAGACCTTAAGTTGGCTAATCTATTGTAGGCAGGAAAATTTGTCGGTTTTAAAGTTTCAATGAGATGCACATATAAATTTTCCGAATTGAAAAGTAACAAACACAATCTAAACTGATCCAATAATGAATCATTTATTGGTTACACCGTTTAGGTTTTATGCATTAATTTTGGGGCTTGCATTATTGGTATACTAACTACGAATAAATTAATAAGATCAATTTCTATAGAAGTTTTTGTAGCAAATTATTAACTCATAACTTAGTTTAATTCGTGAATCACGAGTTGACGTGAGTCAAATCGTTACGCCAAATTATTTAAGCAAATATTCTAAAACAATGAAGCTTATAAATTGCAGATTAGCTAATAAATAAATTCGACATTGTAAATATAATAAATTCTAGTCAAATTTATAACTAACTATATTAATAGTTTTTTTTGATGCATTGTCTATTAATATAGAAATTTAAAAGCAATCTTTAATTCTCGTTTATAATGTATAATAAGAAATTTAAATTTTCAGGCTAAGATATTACTAAAATTTTGCCGGGTGTTAATAAAAATATGAACCATGCATCAATAAAAATTAAAGTTCAATATGAGCAATTAATATTTCACAACTTTAATAGAAAATGACATAGGTTTTAAACAAGCGTATTTAATGATACATTAATGAAATTCTTAAAAAGAAAGAAATTTATGTAATTCTATAATTAATGAATAAAAATTTTATTACAAATGTAAATGCACATAGATAGTTTTCTTTCTCTTAATACTTTCTTTAGATTATTGAGCATTAATGAGAGTTGTGAATGAAACGGATGAAAAAATTTGGTGAGTGCTGGTAAAACTAAATATAATGGTTAATGAGAAATTTAGGTTGAAACGTGGTGAAACCCAAGGTTAGTTTCACTTACAACACTAATTGATAGTAAATTATAATTGGTAAAAGCTTTCGATATTTGAATATGCATAAAGTTTTGTGAAATTTTCAATTTCAAAACTATTTGTAGAAAACCTCGTCGCTAACTGTTACCTAAATATCTGTAAGTTTCTTGTTGTCTAAATATAATTAATTTTGGAACATCTCAAGAAAAACGACGTTACTTGGCTGATTAAAATTACAAACCTTTGGTTAAAATACACGCAATAATCAAACTTCAAAAGGTTAATTTTACATGTACATTACTGTTTATAATAATTTAGCGACACTATATTATTTGTCATTAAATAGCTAAGCTCTAATAAATGTTCAAACTTTAATTATGCATTTTAAAATTATAATCTTCAACGCTTTATTATAAAAGGCTTAAATTCACGTATCTTTAATGACTGGTACTTTGATGAAGTTTTCATTCGACCTTTCTATCACTCAATGACCCCTAAAACAAGATACCAAGAAACGGATGACCAAAAAAAGCTTTTCTTGCATAGATTGCGTAAACATATTACATTGCATTGCATATTGAATACTAACATGAATGCCGTATAATCTATTGTCTATCATCTGATTACGTATAACAAGTACGCTCGGTTATGCTCAGGTGCATAATATTCTTAATTAATAATCATTGGTACTTTTACGAACATAAATAAAGTGGAATTCGAAAATCTGTTTTATTTGTGATACTATTATTTTCCGCAAAAATGTATTCGTACTATTCATTTGGATGGAATTATTAAAGGCGTGAATTTAGCCTAAATAGGGAATATGCTAAGGCCGGAAGTGTTACCTGAATCAAGAAAATACAAGAGACAGATATCGAACCTATCGTTGAGGCATTAATAAAAAATATCAGAAAGTAGTTTTTACTCATGACACTAGCCCCAATCCCAACTTTAAACCAATCAACACTCTTTAAATCAAACTTTTAAATTACATAACCACACCGGGCTCTTCAAATCGTATTGATAGATTGTGATTGTAGGGTACTTTAAAGTTAACTTATTTTGAAAATAAGCAGGGTTTAAAAATCCCTTTTTCTGGTTTGAAATTTTGAAGTAGGTGTTATTTAGAGATGAGAGAGTTACCTTATTAATTTCTTTTTCGAGAATATCAATTGTATTTTTATGAGTACTTTTAAAATATTCTTCAATTAGTACTTCTAAATATTATTTGTCTTTAATATGTAATTGTCAATCAGACATATGAGACATTTTAATTTATATATGAATGATATAAAGTTTGAAAAAAAATTCGCAATCGTAAGAAGTATTAATTATTATTATATAAATAAACTTACAAATCAAAATAAATAAAGTTTACAAATCACTGATTTCAAAATAATTACATCACTAATTTAATTCGAAATCAGAACCCTGGGCATTACTCTAGTGAATTTCGTTGGTTATTTTAAAATAATTGAGTTAAATACTTGCATGTCACAATACAAATCTTAATAAGTTCATGGAATAATGATTTAAACGCAGTTACTATTTTGCCTCCACACTCCATCCTATTGGTCATATATACAGTGCATCAATGCTCTGATTAAATTTTATCACAACCAATAAGAACTGCAGGAAAGTGGTGTTAAATGTTAGAACTTCCAGCCAGCGTTAAAAATCATCACCAATTTTTAGATTACGTAATGAAATGCTGGTTCTATTTATTTTATTTATTATTGGATTTACAAGCAAATGATGAAAATATATTCATTGCTATCTCAACTAGCTAGTAGCTAGTCAAAGTTTTTGGAAAAATTCCATGTGAAGCTTCATAAATATTCGTCACATAACTACACATTTGTATTATATATTGCAGCAAATCACAAGTTTAATACTATAACGTCTAAACTTTCTTGAAAACTAGTCAGATTTTATTTATTATAGGGCGTTTTCAATAGTGTCTGAAATTCAATTTTTAAATTAGTTGCGGTCTGCAAACAATTAAAAAAAATTGACTTGCAGATTATAAAAATTTATAAAAATTTAGTTGCGCACATAAGGAATCTGCAGATTTTGGTTGCGAGAATTTAAAATTCCTCAGAATCCGCAACCAAATTTCAGACACTGGTTCTCAAGCGCCTCCCTTAATTAATTAATAAAGAGCCTTATTATTTATTGTTTTGCAAATTTTACTAATAAATCTAAAATATGTTCACAATGTTGGCAACCCGTGCATAGTGACCAAATATAATCATCCAATCTTTTTAGGATTGGCGATCATATACTGTTATCATTTTGCTTATCTTTACCTTTTTACTTTTTTTTTTCGTCTCTTCTTTTTTTTCACCACTTTTTCTTTCGTTTCTTTTTTTCTTTTGTTCTTTTTTTCTTTACGCTCTTTTTTTTTTTTGTTAGTCTTATTTTCTTTCATTCTTTCTTTTCGCCCTTTTTTTTTCGCCCTTCTTTTTTTTTCTTTCTTTTTTTTTCGTCACTGGTTTCCTTTTTTATTTCCTTTTTTCCTTTTTCATTCCCGTTTTCTTTCTTTTTTTTTGCTTTGTTTTTTTTTTCTTTTTTTGCTTATTTTACTAAAACTAATTTCTTTTCTCTCTTTTCTTACAAATATAGTTTTTTGTAACAATTGTGCGGAGTTCTTGACGAAGACGTTGTACTGGAGTTCTTCATGGTTTTTGATGTTTTCATGTGGAGTTCTTGCTATGGAATTCTTAACATTTTTATGTAGACTTCTTGATGGCGTTTTTATGTGAAGTTCTTGATGATGTTTCTGTGGAGTTCTTGGTGGGATTTTGATGACATTTTGTGGTGTTTTGATGATGTTCTGTAGAATTTTAGACGATATTCCGTAGTGCTTGTATGG